ATCGTCGAGGAATACGCAGTTTATTTATTTATTTATTAGTGTTTAATCCTCTGATTTTGCAATTTGTCTCGATTTAGGTGACACTAATATAGCCATCCATTCAAATTTAAATGGCAGGCTCTCAGTGCACAGCAGTATCTAATCTCTCGTTCTCTCGTAATCACTATCAACTGTTATAAAACTCGGAGGAAAAAACCTCGCACTATTGTTACTAAACATTTTCACACTTTCACTCACTACCGGCTGCTTTCCAGCTCAATGGAAGCAATCCATTATAATGCCTAAGCACAAGGGTGGACCGAGAAATCAAATGTCAAGCTACCGCCCAATAAATCACACCTCTACTGCTTCCAAAGCCCTAGAGCGAATAGCCAAGAAGAACATCGTCCAAAATCTTACAAGACTGGATCTGATCAACCCTTCAAAGCACGGCTTTCTCTCAAAACGCTCCTACGTTACATGCCAGCTACAATTTCTCGATCACATCACGACTATGATTGACAGAGGAATGGCAATTATTATAATTCTGTTGGACATGCAAAAGGCGTTCAACCGCGTGCCACACCAGCCACTGCTGTCTGCTCTAGAGTCATATGGAATTGGAAATCCGCTGCTTAACTGGTTCGACTCATACCTAAACGGTCGAACTCAGGTCGTTAAAATCGGTCAGCAACATTCTTCACCGAAGCCAATAACTAGCGGTGTCTTCCAGGGAAGTGTGCTCGGACCGCTACTTTTCTTAATCTATGTAAACAATATATGTGACCCGATCAAACATGGACACCCATTGCTGTTTGCAGACGATGTCAAACTGGTTTACTCATTTCATCCAGACCAACTACATATGTGTTTGGGGTACATCTGTGAAGACCTATCCGCACTAAATATAGCTAGTGAGCGTTTATTAATGAAGTTCTTCGCACTGAAATCCCAAGTACTTGGGTAGAGATGCCGGATCCCAGAAGGCTCCATTATACTTGCCGGAAACGTGACCCCAACATCTGATTCAGTTCGGGACTTAGGAATTAGATACTCAAACTCCTTCAATTTCTCTGAACATGTTCTTTATCAGGTTGCGAAAGCAAGGCAGTTTTGCGGATATATCACCAGAACTTTCTCCCTACCTGAAGCATGACTTGAATCATTCCAGACAATCGTACGACCGACTCTGGAATATTGTACTATCGTTCACAGCCAATTGAGAAAGAAAGACAGAACGGCTCTAGAAAATGTCCAACGATCATTTACCAAGCTGCTCATGCGGCGCTGCTCAAACCTGACTTATTATGATCGCTGTCGAAAACTCCAGCTGGATCCACTTTGGCTGAGACGCTTAAAGAACAACCTTGTTATCTTCTACAACATTATAAACCAACGAATTTACGCACACAGCACCGCACTTGAACTACGGAAGACTGCAGTCTACCCCACACGTAATGGCGGCTACTTGATACGTACAAACCTTTCAAGTCATAAAATTCGGTCGAATTTCTTCTTAGTGAGATACACTTATCTGTGGAACAAACTACCCCTACAGATACGCATGTGTACAAGCCATGTCACTTTTCGAAATCTCCTTCAGACTTTCCTCACTATACCAAATGCTCTGAAGATATTTGACTCACAGCAAACACTAGAAACATTGACAGAAGTTGGTATAAAAAACATATGATAATAGCTTACAGCTAGCTTACTCACTACATGTCATTACATACCACACCAAATCCTGTGTCTTTGCAGCCTAATAGTCCCTTCCTTTATTATCTACTCCTGACGATACAAACATCCGTAAATTTTACATATGAGTTGCGCGGGACTAGGACTCAAGGAAAAGTAATCATGATCCGAAATGCTTTCAATAAACTTTTCTTTAACATTATGAAACGTGTCCACTATACAAATGATCGTTCCCACTTATGGGGCCGTGTACCGTCCGTCGGTAAATATACAAATTTATTTATTTATTTAATATTTCCTCCGAAACTAGAGCGTCCGAGAAGTACAGGGTTTTTTTATCTCTGCCTACGGAAAATGTCTGAAAGCCTCTGAATCACGTTGATGCTTTGCAAGGGTGGATTGGGTTTGTGTCAATTGCAACTGCCCAGCGATTCTTTTTTTCAGTTGCTTAATAATGGTAGAATTATTTAGAGTATTCATTTTAGCACTTGCCCAAAGAACATGAAATTCTGGCTTGGAATTAGTTGAAGTTATTTTAGTTTGCAGGTATGCAGGTCTGGGCTTTTTGACTTCGAATTGCACTCATTCTTGTTAAGGTTTTGCCAGAAGGAGTTCACTCGCCTTGATTGTTTGGTATAGTTATGTCCTGACTGCCATCTGCCTGTAGTTGCGGTTCATATTTTGCACCTTTTGTCTCCCACCGGTAGGCCAATCACCTGCTCTGCGCCGGTCACATCCTCGAAGTTCTTATTCTCGGTGATTTTATCCATTCTGGAAGGACTTACTGGCCTCTTATTGTTCCTGTCCACGCAATCAGCTAGAGCTTGCTCATGGTCAGGGTGCAGCTTCTATAACTAGAACGGATTCATCAACGGCGTACCAGCCACCACCATGTCGCGTTAACAGACTCTGCAATAGCCTGATCTCCTTACAATAAATTAACTGTGACGCCCTTCCTTGTCATCTTTCTGAAGTGTAAGCAAAACGGAAAGATGCCTCGCCGGGATCAAGGTGTTACTGATGTAGTACTGCAGATGAAGTCGCAGTGTAGACGTCATAGGACTCACTCATCAAATGCAACCCTGGCTCCACAACCTGAAAAGATGCGCGCTAACCTCACCGGACATTTATCCTGTAACACAATACTGATAAAAACACAACCGGAACAGTATATATATATATATATATATATATATATATATATATATATATATATATATATATATATATATATATAATCCATTGTGCTGTCAATTCTTCTATACCGCAGTGAAACGTGGACGATGTACCGGCGGGATGTGCGATATCTCAAGCGGTTCCATCAGCAGTGCATGCGACGGATTTTGCGCATCGGTCGGGGCGACAGAGTAGTTGACACGGAAGTGTTGCGCCCTAGTGAAATGTACGCAGTGGACTGCATACTTTTACTGAGGCACCTGGGGTAGATCGGTCATGTGAACCGTATGGATTTGACGCGGATACCCAAGCAACTCTTATATGATCAGGTGCGTATTGGGAAGCGGCATGTAGTGAACCCAAAGTTAAGCTACCAGGACATGATTAAAGTGAGTCTCTCACGTTCTAATCTTGATTGCAGATCATGGGAATCGAAGGCGGTTGATCGGCGTGCATGGCGCGATCTGATCACGAAGGCAGTTGCCGAGGTGCAGGAGAAAGCCCACATGCATGCAGAGAAGAAGCGGTAAGTCCGGAAGCGGTAAGCACCGATGGGTTGTTCTCCATCGACATCAAGCGCATGGTGCTGTAGAACATGCGGTCGCGAGTGCCTGGGTCAGGCAGGTTTGGCGAGTCATGAGCGAGGCCACTCGGGACCACCATCGCCCATATATATATATATATATATATATATATATATATATATATATATATGTATGGCTGGCGGCATCCGGTTTCGGATTTGCCTGTCACTGTGGCCAGCCACAGGGCGCCTGCGCCTACAGAGGGACCATGGATGGCTTGCGCTGCACCACCCACAGCTCCAACCACATACCCCATATCCAGTGTAAACCCGAAGGAATAAGACCGGGAGGCATGCGGATGGGAACCACGTTTCATCAACGGAGCCGGCCCACACTCCTTCACAAGCAACCACAAGCACGCTGTATTTAGGGAATCAAGCGCACACAAGGCGGTGGCTGGACCGTAGTCCGCTCCACACTGTGTGCATGGAACCATCCTTCGAGCCTTGAACTGCCACAAGGACCGTGCACCCTGTCCCCTCCAGCAGCGACCAACTGTCTCCTAGAGCCAGTATGGATGAGGTAGTGGATAACATACAGGTAGGCACCTTGTCAACATGCACATCAAGCGCAGCGACACCAGGGGACATCAAGCCTCAGTCAATCACTTGAAACGACAAGATGAAGTAAAATAAAGCCAATAATGCATAAACATACGGTGACATAATTCTTCGCTAAATTAGCACATGATGCCCTGCAAATGTAGCGCTGTAACCAACCAATAAGCTGGGGAACGTACACCCCTCAACTATCCATTGAATTTGGGAAACCACCTTGTACCTCGAATCTAGCGTACGCACCTGGTGATATAATGTACAGCTGGTTCCCGGAAATTTGCTTCCTGTCTAAAGCACTTCTCGTAGATATAAATCCTGCCCCGTCAACAACAACACCTTCATTGAAATTGCTTTTTATTAACCAATGAACTGATTCAAGCTGAACTACCAAACACAGCAATTATCATGGATCAGCATAGGATCAGACAACCTGGTAACTAATCATCCGCGAATGTTTACATGCAGCTGATTACCATGTGCCCCTTACATGGGAAATCTAAAAATTAACTGAGAGTGTTTGCTGAAGCTTTTCCGCGCGAAAATCCTGACTACTAGTTAGTTAGTTTTCTATTGGGTACGAGCAAAACAAATTTACTTCTAACTTTGTTTTCATTGAATCCGGACGTGCTCATTTGTGTGGTCGCTCAATAGGTTAGATAGTCCCGGATTTAGTTCAATTTGATCAGCATTTTCTGCCTGAGTTCGGAAGGGCTTTCTGGGTCTTATCGCAGTATTGTGAGACAACATGCGCGTAGGGGAACCGCTGCTGTTTCACGAACTCTCAAGCCTGCCGTGCATTAAAATTGCATTCGATCTGTGACGGTTTCGGTGTTGTAGTCTTCCGATGCTTCACTCCATAGAGTACGGTGGCAGAGGTTTAGTTAAAAGTAAAGCATGACCTCATTACAAATTTCGTGTCACAATTCAGACATACGGCGAGTACTCCCAGATCACACAACGATATTCGGATGATCCTGTAGCCCCAAGTAATTTTAAAAGAAGGTTATGTTTGATATTTGATATTGAATTTGCAAGGATGTAATGGTAGGAACCGATACTTCACTGGATATAGGAAAATTTTTATTTGTGCGTAACATATATATGAAATCATCCAAGCAGTAACTTCCGATTCACACAGTTTACGAAACAGCCATTGTTAACGCCACCAAAAGTAATCCGGCACCCATTGCCATACTGCCAAACAGCCACTCACCAACTGTCGGTAAGTTTGTATTTAGGTCTATCAATTGTTTGTTCATTGACCCATAGGAGAAAATAGAAAACAAGCCTGCGGAAATGGACACAGAAAAATAGACATGATAACATGTTTCGCCCAGTTTAAAATATGCGCCGGAATTACATGTGGGTTTAAATCAGTAAAGGTTCTGTCCAAAATTAGCGAAGCACATGATGCACGGAATTGTGTGAGACAATAACAACACTTCCGTTATACTATACAATACCATCCATGAAATGGCCTCAAGGGATTCCATTGTCAGGTTAGAGAGTTGTGGCAAGGGAACTTAAGCATAATCAGAGACAATAGAGTTGTAGTTCCACGTCTAAGTCCACTAAACTTTGGCAATCATAAGGATTGGAATTGAGTACAACATTTCTCCCGCTTCTTTGTGCGTGTAATCCTCTCTGTTGAAATCACTAGTCTAGAACTAAACTCACATTTGTATTGGGCAAGGATAACGTTAATCACTTAGGGCAAACTCATAGGTTTGGATTCTGCCAAGGGGTTCCCATTCGGACCGGGTTTATTTTAAAGTCATTAGGGCAGCACTTGAAGTGGCGAGACTGGGGCATTACGCACTACATACACCTTCAGGTAAAGATAAACGAAGTGCGAGGGGAATCATGGAAACATTCATGGGTAGCTAAAGCCTTCCTCATCAAAACATTAAGCTCGGTGGGCCAGGTTTAACAAAGCGGTTTAAAGGTCACCTTTGTGCCTTGGGGTAACCGTCATGTATTTGGATTACAGCAACCAACTTGGTCTTGTCGTAATGTTCCAAAAGATAACAATTATTATCTTTACTATCGATAATGTAAGCTCTGTTGAACATCAGAATCTTTGTTGAGGTACTTACGGCTATATGAAAGCAAAGGAAAGAAGAATCAGCTAGTTCACGGATCCCAAGTAAGCTGGTTGTTTTACATGACAAAATCGAAGAATTTGGGCTTAGCTAAAGGTAGAAACACGTGATCTGTAGGTCAACGCGGTCAAATGACTAAATGCACTATGCGTATACAGGAAAATTGATGCCAACAGGAATACGGTGTAGATTACTTGAACACGAAATTGATCATGCTGTACTTACACGCTGCTCCGCCAGTACAACCGATGATAATGCCCATTATCACATCGCTACACGGACAACACAGCGTTACGAACAGGAATACCAGAGCACCCGCGTAGATAAAGAATGTGATAAACATGCATGCTATCGCGGCATTTGCGTAATCCGGTTTCACTTCGGCTGTGGGTGGAGAAGCAGCAGGGATCAATGTGAAGCGTTAGAGAATGAAATACGCCAAACAGCATCTGCGTTAAAGTTATAGTACGGCGCTATTGTTGCCATATCGTTCGTTTTCTTACCTTCAATTATTACTCGATATCCAATTATCGAAGCCACTGTGTAAACCACGCCAAGTGCAGAGGCCGCCATAAGAAGAATTTTGCCCACAAAGCCCATTGTTCATTCGACTAGCGACCTAATCGAGCTAGCGGGGTTTAAATAGGGTGTGGTATTAAACAATCGCCTGCTTGGCTAGCGGACAACCGACTGTGTCTGGTTGTCATGGCAAAATAAGGTAAGGTATTGAAGAAGCTCATGATAAGTAGACAACTGGTAAGGGATCGATGACCACATTTCCACGTGTAACTTATTGAAGAATTACAGCAGTCACGAGATCCTGCGCTGGTAGCCAGGAAAGATCGGTCAGGAAAGGCTCGATCGATCGATTGGGTGTTTTGACTCTGGACATTGGGGCTCAAGGAAAATCACTGACGTAAATTACATCTGGTAGGAGCTCATAGTGGCCATTTTTACTTATGCAAACAATAGCGTCTGAGCTCTACCTAACCATACGTTCAAGAGTTTAAAAGTTCAATGGTGTATGATGGGATAAAAAGCATAACTTTACAAGACCTAGAGGATGGATATGAGGAAGAAAATTACAACAAAACATTCCAAGGTGGAATGGGAATTATCAGCGATTAAGTCATTGCACTTTATCAAATTGTTGTTTTGCCTTTAGCACTACGATGAAGGTCTAGTAGTCTTTCCAATGTCGTGATGTCTGGTGCGTTCTCCACATGCGTTGGTAGTGTATTCCAGTGGGAATAGATTCCAAGTGAGTAAAACTACTTTTTACAATTCAAAAGGGTGTGTTGTGCCATTAGTTTCAGGTGGTTGTCTCGACATTGTTTGTAAGAGACTAGGGTCAGTAGTGATGTACATAGGTGCTCACACTCAGTTAGTATCACAGCGAAGCCGTCGGTATTCTGAGGATAATACACTGAGTGAAAGAAAGCGCAGTTGGTAACTGAGACCGCATAGTCCATGCGTTGTCTTGGTGGCTCTTCTTTGGGGTTGCACAAAAAGGCGAATGTCATATTTTAACTATGGATATCAGGCCTGAATTGCATATTCAACGTGAGGACAAATACACGAGTTGATCAGCAATAGTACTAGCTATCGCTCAAAGGTGCCGAGAGCTCGCCTGAAAAGCCTCAAGTTCAAGTTTGCCATACTTGCTGCATTCGAACATTGGAACGAATTGCCAAGAATTTCCTGTAGAATGACACATAAGTCGCATTCCCTAGTCACGTGTTGCAGGACGTGTTGCCCTGAACGGTATGTGTTGACGAAATTGTTACACACCGTTAGCAGGTGGCCCTTTGCAGGGTTCACTGGGAGCTGGATCCTTTCTTCCCATCCGTTAATGCGGTCCAGATAGTTCTGGAGATAGGCACGGTCGGATGCTGAGCGAATTGCTCTCCATATTCTAGCATCGTCTGCAAATATTTACATCGGGGCTAGAATGTCTGCTGAAAGGGCACTGATGTAGACTAACAACAGTAGTGGGTCGAGGGCGGATCCTTACAATGCATCAATGGATACGCACAGCCATTTGGAGTGATGGTCGGGTACTCTTACTTTGATTTGTCTGCCGTGTAAGTAGTTTTCCAACCAGGTGAGAATGGAATCGTTGATATGGTAGGCAGCAAGCTTTTGGAAGAGAACGAAGTGATTGACCCTGTCGAATGCTTTAAAAAAATCTACGTAAATCATATGTATGGGGATTTCTCCATCAGCCACCATGGTTCACGAGTCCCGAGTAAAGAGGAAATTGCTGAGGCAAGTTCGTCTGTGTCTGAAACAAGGTTGAACACTGGATAGTATTTGCAGGCTTTCAATTATCGCGTCAGTCCGTCTGCAATTACCGATTCCAACACTTTTGATAAAACATGTGGGAGAATAATAGGTTGGCAGTTTGCAGGATCAGATCGCTTACATACTACGTGTTAGATCTTCCCTTGTTTTCGCTATCCCGAATTAACCACCCAGAAATTTCTCCGCAGCAGTTCTAGCCCAGCCGAAGAAAAATCAAAATTCCAACAGCCTTGACCACGAAAAACGTGTTAACAAACACTCTGCCAACGTAGCCAGAAAATGCCGCCGAAAACACTGTCCTCTCAACTCTGAGGCAAAAGTCCAATTAGCCGAGTGTTTGAAAACGCATTCGTCCGCTCGATCAATTGCCTTATCAACCGCACGGGTAGGCGATTCCTTCAGCCCAGCTTTCAATCACTATTATATACTTTCCCTTTTTTATGTTTTTATCTGATTCCCGGATACCTCCCCTCCTGAAGCTGCTGCCATTGTGTATGATGCTAGCCGGGGATTAACCTGAAGCCTCTTGGAAGGGATTCTTCGCCTACCGGTGCATCGCCTTGGCTGTAGTGTTCTGGATTCGAATTCCGTACTCTGCGGTCTGGTACTATTCGTCTGATGACAGGGTTCTTCTACTGGCTCTGTCGGCAAGTTGAAGCTGTCTGCCAACAGGTCGAATGGAAGCTTGGCGGATTCTGTTGCTTGTGGCTGACATATTGTTGTTCGCAGTTGGTTTGCATGGCGTACCCATACCTGCGTTCCAACCAGCACGTCGTAAATGACGCTTCCGCGCTTGCACTGGATCGTGCCTGGCGTCCATTTCGCGTGTCCACCCCGATAATCACGCACAAGTACTGGCTGACCCGGTCTAAACGAACGTTGCTTGGCACCAAACCGCCGATTAAAATCACGTTCCATCTTTAGGTTCCTTTCACCAGCTATGGACTCTGAGGATGGCCGAACTGCATCATATGGCATGCGAAGTTTTCTCTTCATCATTGCCTCTGCTGGTGATATTCCACCCGGCGTTTGTGGATTTTGTGTAGATCGGTACAGAAATAGGAAGCGGTCGATCACCTCCTCTATGTCTACCTCCCTCCTTGATTTGAGGAGAGCGCGTTTGAATGTATCCACAAACCTCTCTGCTTGGCCATTTGATTGTGGGTGGAATGGTGGAGACCGCACGTGTTTGATGGTGCAACGTTGGCAGAATTCCATGAATGTGGTCGAAGTAAACTGTGTTCCATTGTCCGTCACCAATGTTTCAGGGCAGCCGAACCTGCTGAAAATTTGTCGTAACCTAGAGACGGTTGCGCTGGTTTTCGTGCTTCTCATGAGGAACACTTCGGGCCACTTGCTATAAGCGTCGACCAATATGAGAAAGTTCTGGCCATTGATTGGGACTGCAAAGTCTACATGAACACGACTCCAAGGTTTAGTTGGTTTAGGCCATGAGCGGAGTTCAGTCTTTGGCGGTGCCCTTGACGCGGTAGCGCAGTTGCCACAACTTTTAGCTAGCTGCTCTAGCTTTCTGGTCATCTCTTCTGTCGACGGTGATGAATGTACTGGGTCGGTTTGTACTGTATTGCAAATCTGACTCATTGGAGCATCAAACAGTTGTAATTTTTCCATCCAGTCAAGTCCAAGGAGGTTCAAGTTTGGTCGATCAGACAAGTAGCAGGTTCCGGCCTTTTCCACTCCGTTGAATGCAATTTTGCAATTTATTTCTCCGACCAACTTCAGCACTCCACCGGATGCATTGTGAGCGATTTTGTTGGAATCAATCATTTTCGGCTTCTTTATATGCTTCCAAGTGTTCTTGGAAATGATCGTTATATCTGATGCCGTATCGAACTGCAGCCGGGTTGGGATTCCGTTGATAAGCACAGTGATAAATCGGCGGCGTGTTTTAGAATCGCTGTGAAACGTAGCAATCACCGATAGTGATTCTGCGTCAGGTTTTCTGAATTTCTTCCTTCGGTAGGACTGCTTCACATTTCTTGGCCGGGACTGATGGCAAAAGTCTTCCTTGTGGCCGCGTTTATGGCACTTATCACAAATATGACGCTTGAACGGACAGTATCGTGCGAAATGCCATTCACCACATGACCAACAAGGTGTAGACGGCTTGTTCGGCTTTCTGTTGAACGCCTTATTCGAGCCAGGCTTTCTTGCTTTTTGCACAGCATGAACAGTATCGGCAATGGTGGGGCAACTCTGATCAATCATAGCCGTATCGTGTTTCAAGGTAATTAACCGTTTGCATTCGCCTACAAGAGACTTCAATGTCAAATCTGGGTCTTGATCCAACTTAGCAAGGAGCCGAGTGCGGATTTCCGCGTGGCGTGGAGACTGTAAAGGACTGACAAATATAAGACACTTAAACTGGTCATCCGTCAAACAGCGTAAATTGAAACGTTCACATTCGCGGTTAACCATGTCTGCTAGTACCCCATAATCGTCTGTATCACGCATTACAATTTTTAGACATTGATAGCGAATGCTAAACAATGATGTCGACTCACCAAAAATTTCTTTGAGTGTTGCCACTGCTTCGTTGAAAGTGATGTCCTTCGGCTCTTTGGGCAACATGTGGTCAAGGAATCTTGTATGTTCATTAGTTCCGAGCTTGCGGAGCAAAAGGCGCACTTTCCATGAATCATCTTGACGGCTGAAATCCGTCTGGAACATATCCTCCCAACGTTTGAACCACGCCTCGAAAGTGGATTCGGTATCAGCATCATAATGGAATTCAGTGATTGAATTCGTAAGAAGATCAAGTGAAACAGCCTGCGTGTCCCGTGTAGCTGCTCCGTTTGATTGTACGTTCAAGCACTGCGTTAAACTTTCAATCCGTTTCATTTGTGCTTCCATCTGGGATTGTTGCTGAAGAAGCAGCTTTTGAAAATGTTCGGCAGAAAAATTTGTAACATTTCCGTGCTTGTCCGTCGCCATTGTTAGAGCTTCCCTTTTTTCGCTATTCCGAATTAACCACCCAGAAATTTCTCCGCAGCAGTTCTAGCCCAGCCGAAGAAAAATCAAAATTCCAACAGTCTTGACCACGAAAAACGTGTTAACAAAAACTGCCAACGTAGCCAGATAATGTCGCCGAAAAACATTGCCCTCTCAACTCTGAGGCAAAAGTCCAATTAGCCGAGTGTTTGAAAACGCATTCGTCCGCTCGATAAAACATGTGGGAGAATAATAGGTTGTCAGTTTGCAGGATCAGATCGCTTACATCCTACGTATATCGAAGTGATAATTACCTTTTTCAACTCGAATGGGAGTTCATGGGAGCCAAGCAGACCTTGGAAAAGGTTGCAAGTTATGCTGCTATGGTGGAACAATG